TTGAAAAAAATCACCAAAGTTTATTATGTAAATGGTTCTTTTTCATGTGGTTTTATTAGGTTTAACCGGTTCAACCGGTTTATTTTGACCGGTTCAACCGGATTTTTCTAAAAACCGGCCGGTTCAATCCGGTTCAGAAATCAATATAAAAGTGGTGATAGTCGAACCGCTCCCTCTCCCGGTTCCCGGTCCAACCGGTTCGACCGGCCGGTTCAAACCGGTTTTTAAAACATTGGTCAGATCTATTTTAGGTATCATGACAAATAAAACAGTTTTCCATAACAGAAATCTTTTTAGAAATCTTTTCCTTAAACTGTCAAATCCCTTTATCCCCAAGATGTTAAATCTGTTCCAAATTCCACCTTTATTCAATGGACTCTTGCCCCTCACCACACGTTCTCCAAACGTGTGATAATGAGCCTGGCATATCATTAAATGCCCCATATTTGAAAATTAAAAAAAAAATTTCTTTTATTTATTTTATTTGTGATTGAAAATGGTTAAAACCCAAGGGTTTTTACCATTAACAACTGTAAATAGGGTAAATCCAATAAACTTTTTAGTTCTGGAGCTATATAAATCCTTTTCCCTCCCAAGAAAGCTTTACGCTTTCTGAACTCTTAAAGACGATCTTCATCTTCTTCATCTCCTTGCACTCAAAAATTTTCTGCAAGTTCTTCAAACGTTTTCAACAATGGTGAAGTCTGGTGTATGAAAGAAACAATCAAAAGCTTCTGGATCAGCCCAAACCACTGGTTCTAAATCCACGACGAGAAACCAATCGCAATCGATTGCCTCAAGCAATTTTAGGGCAATCTTTGAAGATCATCAATCTTACAATGAATCCATCTGTCTGGTAATCAAGTTCATCTCAACTCATCCCCTGTTTGGAGCCTTTGACTCATTCACAGATGTTGTTCCACTGTCTACTCTCTGGAAATGTGCATTCTCGGCATTTTGACCCCTCAACAATCTTGAAGAAGTTAACCTGAACCTAGTTGATGATTCCTTGGTCATCTTGACCAAAGAGAAGTTTCTAAATGCGATCAACTTACTTGTTCTTCCTACTACGAAGTTCTTCTCCCCAAGTGCAAATGACATCATCTCAACTCTCTGCCAAATGGGATATTAGAAGAAACTCAGGGGTATCGGTGAGTTCAAGAAAACTCATTTGCCTGCGGTTTGGCAATTTGTGTGCCACTTTATCATCCAAAGTCTCTCTGGGAGAACCGGAGGCACAGACATATGGGCCTTAAACTACTGGAACTGATGTGGAGCATCTTCACTACCCACGACGTCAACTATGGGCAGATCTTGTGGGATGACTTTCTCTAGTACATTCTCAAGGAGAATCCGAGGGCAACCCCGACAGAGCTCACATTCACACACTTTTGGTCCCTATGCATCTCAGGTATGAAAGTGATTCTTCTTCTGATGATGATGAAATGTTTATTTCTGAGGTGCCAGATGAAATGAAGCCAAAAGAGAAAGATGTTTATAATTCTTTAAAGGATGATGCTGAATTTTACTTGCAGTATGCTAAATAAGCTAAATTTGATGCTAGTCTGCCAACAATAAAGTGTTCTAAAGGAAAATTTTCACTTAGATATGTGATATGTAGCAGATCAGGTTTTTTGAATGTGTTAATCATGATTCTAACAATGAAAATCAGCCAAATCGTAAAAGGAAAACATCATCAAAGAAGATGGGATGTCCATCTCTTATAACTTTCAAGCGTGTTGCTTTTGGTTCATTTCAATTTTGGGGTATATAAGTTTGTGGAAAAACATAACCATGTACTGGTTTCAAAAGAAAATCCTTATTTGTTACGTGTTACTCAGAAGTTTGATGTTGTTGAACAATCGTTCATTCACAAACTCGGAGCTTATAACATTGGTGCCACTAGAGCTTATACATTGTTAAGTACAATTAATGGTGGTTATAATATTATTGGTGGTACTGTAACTGATTTCAAGAACTTTAAAAGGGATTTAAATGTTTCAGTTGGTAAAAGTGATGCACAAATGCTTATTGACATAATGGAAGCTAGAGTAAAGTATATTCAAAACTTCTTTTTTGATCACAAGATTGATAAAGGTCATGTTACTAGTCTCTTTTGGGCTGATGAGGCATCAAGAAGAAACTACAAAGAATTTGGAGATATTGTATCTTTTGATGTCACCTATAGTACCAAAAAGTAATATTCTTATTATTATCTTGTTAATTTAATGTTCATTTTAATTAACATTATCATTCACATTCTTATCTTGATAATTTAATGTTCATTTCCATTCTCATTATCATTCACATTGTGAATGATCACATTTTTGTAAATTTTATATCACATTATCATTCACATTGTGAATGTTTTTCCTACATTACATATAAATGATTAGAATTTGTTATTAAACTTCATTTTTATTGTCATTGTTTACATTTAATTAATTGTTTCAGATATTGTATGGTATTTGTTCCATTCATCGGAATTGATAACCATAGGCGATGTGTAACTTTTGGGGATGGATTACTAGCTAATGAGTCAACTGAATCATATATATGGCTCCTTAAAACATTTCTAAAAGCTTTTGGTAGTCAGCCAAGTATAATTGTAATTGATCAAGATGTTGCAATGAAGAATGCCATTAATATTGTACTTTCTCAGTCTAGACATAGAGTATGTATGTGGCACATCAACAAAAAACTTTCTGATAAGGTATCTTATTTCTATTCTAAGTTTAATTTTCTCTAAGTTATTTCAGTCAGAATATATAATTTTTTTCATTATATGAATTCACTTGTCTATTCTAAAATTTGAATTTTATGCATTTTAGATTCACTGTGAATTAAATAAAGCTAAGTGTTTTTATTTTATTTTAAGGTTCCTTTTAGAGTTTTTAACCATCCAAAGTTCAAGAAACCTTTTCACAAAACTGTTTGGGATTCTAAAATTTATCCAGAAGAATTTGAGGCTTCATGGTCTTCATTGATTCAAAATTTTGATCTTCAAAGTAACAATTGCTTATCTGTTATGTGTTATGTTTGACATGAGGATTTCATGGAGTCCATCTTATTTGAGAGATTTCCAACTTTCTGGTTTGATGCGAACAACTTCAAGATCGGAGTGTGAAAATTATGTTTTCTCAAAATTTCTTCATCCGGAAGCAAACTTTCTTGATTTTATTGTTCATTTGAGAATGCTATGGAAAAAGCAAAGGCATAATCAATGTTTACTTTATCATCAATCTTTAACTACCAATCCTATATACAGAACATTTATTCCCATTGCAAAATTCGCAGCTGATGTTTATACCCGTTCTAATTTCAGTATTGTTCAAAAGGAGATTTTTAATTCCATCTCGTCTTGCTTCCACTTGCCTGTTATTATGGAAAATGAAGTTGAAGTGTACTTAATCAAAGATAAAAAGAAGTCCCCGTGGAAAGATGTTAAACATAAAAGAGGTAATGATGGTGAAAACTATTATTCAGATTATCCATAGTCTATTTCTGATCTTTCTCCTTCTACTTATTTCAAGGTATGTTCATATCTTAATTTTACAAATAAAATTTTATTTCTACTTTTAAACTTTTGAAAGTAGTTTTATATCTAGAATTCACATGTAAATTTTTGAATTATAATTATAGCAATTAAAATTTATTTTTATTCAAGTCTAAATTGTTATTAATTGTTATTTTGTAGGTTATGTGTAATCAAAAAGAAGATTCTATCGCATGTAGTTGCATGCTTTACATTCAACAAAGATTCTTATGTTGCCATATTTTGTATGTTTTTAATATCAATGAGATTGATATAATACCATCAAAGTACATATTGAGGCATTGACGAAAAGATATCATTCCTCCTGAAATCTTGAGACAGACATTTTCAAATTCTGGAAACAAAAGTAAAATGATTCAAGATGCTTTTGTTACCTTTGGTTCAATTGTTGACAAATTAGCAAAAGAGGAGGATGGGTTGAGAAATTTTCTAAGTAATCTTCAAGAATATATGAGTGAAATTAATAAATGAGGTTCATCAATGTCATCATGTAGTAAAGATGCACGCATGACATCTTTACGTGGAGCTTCAGTACCTAACATTATTAATGTTAAAAATGTAGAAGGTATTACAAACAAGGGTATTGGGAAAAGATTCATCACGAATAAAGAAAAGTCAATTGAGGCGTCGAAGAAGCGATTAAGGGAATGCACTTTATGTCATAAGTCGTATCATGATGCGAGAACCCATCCTTTAAAGGAAAAAAAGGAAAGGTTTTCTCTTAAAATTGAATATTAGGCTTTTAATGATTTGTTTTTACTATATTGTAATAGAATAAATAAACTTTGAATGTTTTTATAATAAAATTTTCATGTTAAAAATTGACTTTATGTACTATAATTCTAATTGTGAATCTCACATATTAAATATTCTAAAGAAACTACATGTAATGTAATTCACATTGTGAATATCACATAAAATCTTTTATGTTAAATATTGACTTTATTTAATTTAACTCATATTGTGAATCTCATTTATTAATTATCAATGTTCTAAAATTCTATATATACTGTAATTCACATTGTGATCCTGAGATATAAAATATACATGTTATAAAGAACTATATATACTGTAATTTACCATGTGAATGTCACATACAAATTTTCATGTTATAGATTGACTTTATGTAATGTAAATCACATTGTGAATCTCACCATTTCAAAAGATTTACTTTATGTAATGTAATTCAAATTGTTAATCTCACTTATTTAAAATAGAAATTTATCCACTCCTCCTCCTCCCCCACCCCACCACCTCCCCCAAACACCACCAACACACCAATATTGACATTCACATGAAAATGTTAACATATTTGAAGTATTAGTAAAGTGCATTATATTGGAGATAAAAGTTCAAATCAAAATGTAACAAAACAAGCGTTTATATTTTCTAAAAGAAATTAAAGTGCATCTAAAATGATACTAATCAAAATACCGTTATATTTAATAGAAAACTAAAGTTTAAAATTTCTCATCCTTGAACTTCTAAATCCTTTCTCCCCTTATTTCCCATCCCTTTTTTTTATCAAAGCTTGTATTTCTTCATTAGACTTTTGTGCAAACTTCTCAGTTTGTGAAATATCTTTTGACCTCAATATGTTTGCGTCACTCAAAAGTATCTCTGTCAAATACTTAATACGCAAATTATTTAACACATTTTGTTGTTCTTTTGATTCTTTTGGCAACCCACAATCCCAATTTACTTTTTTATCTCCCATATACGTCTCCATATGACACATGCAAAAAACTCCGCAGTCAACATGATTATCCCTTGTACGCCATTTCATTATCACCCTATCTGGTTCAACACCCTCCAAACTTAAAGCTGATTTGTTGTTGACAGTCATCAAGTACCTACTAAAAAGTAGTTTCTGCAAAAAAGAAATTGTTATTTATTGTAATAATTATTTTATTAAATTTTAAATGTAAATTTTCTATTCTTACCAATTCTTCAGGTGCATCACGATAAGCTCTTTTAAGCATTGCAACTGAATTCATGTTGTCAATGGCATCAACTGATGGTTCCTCTAAGTTTATGCATGTCAGGTAAAAGTGATTTTTTGATGAACTGAAAAAAACCTGTTTTAGAATTTTAAATTGTTAATATTTCTTGAAAAGACGTAATATATTCAATATCATTTGTTTTAATGAAAAAGAATAATTTTATTACCAATTGAACTTTTTCGAATGTTAGAAGTTCTTTGTCTTTTTTTATTGCATCTTTGATATTTGACTCAAATTTGTCATATCTTTCAATGAAAGGATGTTTTTTGTCATATATGAACTGTCTCTGCAAAAAAAATATAAATATACATCAAACGTTAAGAATTATTAAATACACAATAAGGTACAATTTAATTTTATAATTATTCACACAATGAATCATAATAGGATTCATTGTGTGAATTTTATAACTTATTCAGAATTGTTATAACTTACTATCATTCATGTATTAAAGAAATACTGCTTCACTGTAGAGTTTGAATTATTCTTTTCTTCATAGTTCAAAACATCAGTCCAAGTATCAATAACATGTGCATGTACCCATAATCATGCTTTCATTGTTTCAATCATTCCTCTTCCAAGCACATATCTTCTCTTAGTTTGAAATACCTTCTCACTTAATTTGTAATCAAATAAAACGAAAAACAATTAATAGAAAATAAACTTATATTTGTATTTATACTATTGTATTTACAGAAAAAAATAATATAAATTATTACCTACTATTACCAATCCTGGAAAATATTTTATCAGATACTCTTACTTCATCCCTTTCTATAAACTTTCTTGCACAAACCTCTTTTTGATTATAAGGAGAACATACATACATTGATGGTTTTTTAAGCGCTTTCCTCCATTTACCTCTTGACCATCTTCAATTCCCAAGATATTAATGTTATCTTCTATTACTTCTGAATCATAACTTGGTTCATCTCTTTCCTGAAACTCTTATGTTAGACCAACACCAAGTCCAAGTGAAAAACTAGGCATTGATGATTTTTTTTTCTTTATCATCTATTATTGTTTTCTTAATTTTTTTGTTTTGTAAATTTTTGTACATCAAAAAAATCATCATCATTATCAAAATTTAAAATACATTGAAAATAATCAACAATCTCATGAACTTTTGGATCATTATACAAATTTCCTGGTGTTACCTTTAATATGAGTGGTTGATTCTTTATTTTGTTTTCTGTTGTATTTTGCCCATTCGGATCTTTATGTATATCACCCTCATTCCCATCCACTTCATTCACATCTTTAGTTTTTCAACTTCATTCCCATCTTGAGGTTTTTCAGCTTCATCCCCAATCACCTCATTCCCATCTTGAAGTTTTTCAGTTTCATCCCCAATCACCTCATTCCCATCTTCAGGTATTTCATCTTCATTCTTATCATTATCACTTTCATATTCTTTCCCATCTACTTTTTTCTTCATCTTCACCTTCTTTTTGACTTTTATAATTGAATTCTTGTTCAAAGATTTCCTTCATTTCTTTCAGCTCATCACTTTCTTTGAACTTCGTTTTTGAAAACTCAATTAACTTTCCAAACTTCATTTTATCATTCACTAGTTTTTTATAAATCTTTTTCACTTTAAAAACCAATTCCTGCAAAAAGAAATAAAAAAATATTAAAACATCAAAGATTCACAATTTCAATGCTTCTGAATATATTTGGTATTCACTATGTGAATTTATTATATCAAAAATAATAAAATACAAAAAGTGATGCACATTAGATATTTACTCTGTGAATTTGTATAAATTCACAATGTGAATTATAATAAATTCACAATGTGAATTTGCATGTCATTCGAAATTCAGTTATGATTCACCATATTCACTCTGTGAATTTGTATAAATTTACTCTGTGAGTTTGTATAAATTTAGTCTGTGAATTTTGTATAAATTCATGATGTGAATTTTGTATTTCATAGCAAATTTAGTTAAGATATGAACCACATCAAAGATTCACAATGTGAATTTGCATGTCATTCCAAATTATAGTTAAAATTCACCATGTGATGCATTTATAGTCATTTCTTTCATTGTTCAAATACACATGGTGAATCTTAACATATTGTGTATGTCTAGATTTAGAAGAATAAGAAGCTTAAAAAACCATTTTGTAGAAATTCAGAAAATTAATCTATGAGACTATGAACAACATCAAAGATTCATAATGTTAATTCTAAAATTCTAAAATGAAAATTTATTAAATATATAAATTATAAACTTACATCGAGTTTCATATCTTCATTTTCATCACTATCGTATTCTTCATCAATCTCTATAATATCATCATTCCATTCCAAGGTTCCAAAGTCACCACTCTTTAACTCATCTTTTTCCTTTTTCATCATCATGTTATAATCCCAAAAATGTATTGCATGTATTTGTCATTTTTCATTCTTATCGTTTCTCATAAACTGCAAATAAGCTAGCTATTTTTATGTAAACAAAAAGATAATTAATTAATACTCTTATAATAATATAAATTAAAGTGTTAATTTCAAAAAAAAATCCTTACCAGTAAAATAAGAAGTGGCCCACAATAGTAGTTTCTTCTATCTGTTTCATCTCATGTCATCTTTAACATTTTCAAGCAATTCGTTATAAATCCACACCAATCAATTTCTCTAATACGTGTTTTTTCTAACAAATTTGGCAATACTATTGTTTTGCAAGTTCCAGGCTTATTTTGTTCACACGTCGTATTTACAAACAGTATAAGAAAATTGTTCTAAATATAATCCCTAAATTTGTAGATTCTTTAATCGTCTCTTCAACATCTGATGGTCTCATAACCTTATAGTTGTATTGTTGCTTCCAATCCATTAATTCTTTTCCTTCACATTGATTAGTGTTGTACATATCTTTTCCACCTAGAGGAATTCCTAGCAAATCATGAACAAGAGCTGGTGTTATATCTATGTTTCCTTTGGGTAGATGCATCTTCATATCTTCTGGATTAAATGAGTTAACAGCAAATCGTGCCATTTTCCCAGTTATTCCGTTAGCTGCAATTCTAAGCAACGATCCCAATCCCATATCTCTAACAACTTTTTTGTTCTTTGTTTAAAGATTTAACAATATCATAAAATTTCTTCGGGCTCATTCTTGTTCTCAAAGATACTTTCTCATTTGGATTTATTGGAACTTTTGCCTTTTTTTCTTTGAATACTTCCAAAGTATCCTTTTGTTGGCATGTGTCTTTCAGATTTCTTTTTCTTTTACCTGTTAGGTACTAATTTTTGTAAGCTTCTTACAATAATATATATTATAAAATAATTAAACATTTGAATAGTGATAAACAAACCTGTTACTTTTTTATCAGATTCTTTCTTTACAAGGCTATCATCAGATTTAACAGGAGTCACAAAATTTGAATATTCAACCATTTTAAGTCTTGGACTCCTTATGATTTATGTTAATGTTTTAAAAAAAATTAATAAGAGTTGATTATATAATATTAAATTCAATTATAATTGTATAAATACTAACCTTGTGCTGATTTCTTTTCTGGTGTCTTAAAAGCAGCCTTATCTTCCTTCATCAACTTTTTTGTTTTCTTTTTGTGAATCTTCTCATCTTTTGAAGTCTTTTCTTCTTTTTTTCTTAACTTATCAACAATTTCCTCTACAATTCTTTTTTGCTTTTTTTTGTATACTTTCTTGAACATTCAACTACACAATATGAATTTTCACGTCATTCCAAATTCAGTTAAGGTTCACCAAGTGAATTTGCATTTTCCATCAATCAAATTAGAGTGATTTGAGCAAATTCACAATGTGAATCTGTGTGGCTATTATCCACATCAAAGATTCACCATGTGAATTTGTGTCTCATCCAAAATTCAGTTAAGGTTCACCATGTGAATTTGTTTTTTTGTATTTCAAGGCATTATGATATCACCAACCAAATTTTATAAATGAAACACATGGTCAAACATAGCATGTGTTTGTGATCATAGTGTATCAAGTGAGAGTGATAAGAAGCTTTGAAAAACCACTTTGAGCAAATTCACAATGTAAATCTGTGTGGCTATTATCCACATCAAAGATTCACCATGTGAATTTGTGTCTCATTCCAAATTCAGTTAAGGTTCACCATGTGAATTTGATTTTTTTCATTTCAAGGCATTATGATATCACCAACCAAATTTTATAAAAGAAACACATGGTGAAACATAGCATGTGCTTGTGTGCATAGTGTATCAAGTGAGAGTGATAAGAAGCTTTACAAAACCACTTTGAAAAAATTCACAACGTGAATCTGTGTGGCTATTATCCCCATCAAGGATTCACCATGTGAATTTATGTCTCATTCCAAATTCAGTTAAGGTTCACCATGTGAATTTGCTTTTTTGCATTTCAAGGCATTATGATATCACCAACCAAATTTTATAAAAGAAACACATGGTGAAACATAGCATGTGTTTATGTGCATAGTGTATCAAGTAAGAGTGATAAGAAGATTTACAAAAGCACTTTGAGCAAATTCACAATGTGAATTTGTCTAGCTATTATCCACATCAAAGATTCACCATGTGAATTTGCATTCAATTAGGTTTGTAGTATATTACTAGATACTTTCAATGTGAATGTTCTAACCTGTTTTTTTTATCTTGCATATCTTCACTTGTAGTTGTAGGTTGAACATCTTTAACATTTCTTGTCATTTTCACTCTTTTCTTCACTCTTTTCTGATTATCCTTTTCTTCATTCTTCTTTTCTTCATTTTCTGTTTAAAAAATTAAGTTAAACATGTGTTTTCATGATATGAAAGTTATGATTTATACATATAGTTTCCAAATTAATGATTACTTGATGCATCTAAATATAAATATTAAGAAAACTATCATAATTTGTTAAATATAGCAATCATAATGTTTTAAACATATCAATCACATATTCTCAATGTGATTTTGCGATTCTATGATCTACGATAGTGATTTCAGAATATGAAATTAGGTTTTCGATTTAATGAATAAACTCATAAATGATTTCGATTCACAAATTTTAGCAAATAACTTAGATATTGACGATTTACTTAACCATTTTAAGAAATTTACCTCATTAGGTTTTCGACTTTTATAGAAATTCACTAAAGTTGATCATCCGAGGGTTTCAATTTTGTTTAAAAGTGTAAAAACGATTTCTTAAATAGAATGTTGTTCATAGATTGATCAAATATATACTGTAACAAGTAATTTAGATTTTTTGTTTTGAAATTTTAGAAATCGGACATTTTGATTTGGAATCATTAAATGAGATAATCGGAGTATGAGTGAATAGTAGTCGAATATACCTTCTAGATTCATTTTTTGAACTTTCTGGCAAGATTCACGGTTGATATCATCTTGATATCGTCTGAATCGATCGGCGATGCATTGAAATCAATTTTTCAACAGTGAAGTAAATGATCGCTTTCAATGAGGGTAAAATCAATTTGACTGAGACGATGCAGTTGAGACTAACGGTGTTAAACGACGTAAACGTTAAAATGTTTCAGTTTTACGAAATTGCCCCTGAAGTTCCGAGTACTTTTACAATCAGCTACAACTATGTTTTTATTACAGTTTACAACCTAAATCATGCCCCTTTATTTTTTTGA